CGGCTCACAGCAGCGTCTGCCTCCCAGGCTTAAGAAATCCTCCCACTCAGCCTCCCAAGTAACTGAGACCACAGGATTGTGTCACCACGCTCCACTAATTTTTTAAAAAATTTTTATAGAGACAAAGTCTCATTATGCTGCCCAGGCTGGTCTCAAACTCCTGAGCTCAAGCAATCCTCCCACCTCGGCCTCCCAAAGTGTTGGGATTACAGGTCAACCACCGCACCCGGCCACCTGGCATTTCTTTGTCATAGTTTCCTCATCTGTAAAACAGGGAGAATACCTGCAGTGCCTATCTAGAGTGACCTGGGAGAAGGATCAAATAAAGCAACCTAAGTTGACATACTTCGAAATGTACCATTGGAAGGTATACATTATAAGACATGCCCATTTCGCTTGAGAAAAAGAGGATACAGGGTGCTAAAACACTGAGCAAATAAATAAACTGTGCTGGATTTTAAGGTGCACCAAATTCATCCATATTAACCTCATGACTAATAAAGGCAAAGGGACTATACTTCATATTTCTGTTGTAGTCTGATTGACCCCATAAGGCAAACATCAATAAAGCTGGCAAAAAAGGAAAGTATTCGCCTATGTACCAGACGCTATTAGAGATCCTATTAAACACCTGAATTACAGGAAAGAAAGACAGGTTCTGCCTGCATCTCTCCTAAAACATGGAAAATGGTAGTTTTTGGTAATCTACCCAAAGAATATTTGAATACCCTGTCTGCCCCCTACCAGCACCACCACAGTTCTCATTGTTTATGTCTCAGATCTTCTCTGTCCAATACAGCAGCTATCTCATGTAACTATTTAAATTTAAAAAACGTTTAACTTTAATAGTTTTAAGTTTAAACTATTTGAATCAAACACCACTTCCTTAGTTTTTTAAGTGCTTACGAGTCACATGTGGCCAGAGGCTACCATATTAGAGCAGATAAGATTTAGTTCCATGATTGCAGAAAATTCTATTTGACAGAGCTGCTTCAGATACTACACTATTATTTTTATTATAACTTTGATTAGACTCCTAGAGGATACAGGCCATGTCTTATTTATCTTTGTATTCCCAGTTTATATAGCTAAGTGCATTTCACACACTAAGTACTCACTATACAGACAATCCTCAACTTATGATTTTCAACTGACCAGGGTGTGAAAGCAATATGCATTCAGTAAAAACTGTACTTTGAATTATCCACATAACCATTTTGTTTTTCACTTTCAGTACAGTATTCAATTACATGAAATGTTCAACATTTTCTTATAAAATAGGCTTTGTGTTAGATAATTTTGCCCAACTGTAGCCTAATGTAAATGTTCTGAGCATGTTTAAGGTAGATGAGCCTAAGCTATTCTGTTCAGTAGGTATATTAAATGCATTTTTGGCTTACGATCTTCTCAACTTTGATAGGTTTATTGGGAAGTAATCCCATAGTAAGTCGAGGGGCCTCTAGATATCTAACTGAGTTTCTCAAACACAACAGATCACTCTCTCCCCTTCCCTATCCCATGCACACACACAGACATGCAAACACAACACAACAATTCACAAGACAACCTTTCTCATGGGGCAGGGGTCTGGGGTAAAAGGGGACACTGTCCAGAGGAAGGAGGCCTGCTTTCGGAGGGCTAGAAGCTAACCATGTAGCCTTGGCCAAGTTACTTTCCCCATCTATAATAAAATGAAACTTCATGTGCCTTAATTTTAAAACTTAAATCATCTCGCACCAAAGAAAATCAAGTATTCTGCCCAAAAAGTCTTTGCACACGTCAGGAAACACATCTGCTAACACTGATGAGTACCTTGTATTAAACAGAATCCATTTCTAGGTCCCAAACTATCATGATTAGAGTCACTTTTGTTCTCTAAGCACGTGGAATTTTTTACCTTTACTTTGGGGCACAACTACAGACTTAAACCTTCAGCCTTAAAGATTGAGTTTCTTCCATGTGCTAAAGCAAGAACTGGATACTGTGTCCATATCTGATTAGAGAGACAAGGACAAGTTTCTTGAGTATCTGAATTTAACATAAATTGTCCCATCAGTTTCTATTAGTGCTAAGCCTAAAAACTGAGCAAATAATACAAAACGGAACCAAGAAAATTTCTCTATAACAATTCTTATAAAGAATATTTTATGGGCCGGAGACAGTGGCTCATGCCTGTAATCCCAACACTTTGGGAGGCCTAGGCAGGCGGATCATTTAAGGTCAGGAGTTCGACACGAACCTGGCCAACATGGCAAAACCCTCTCTCAACTAAAAATACAAAAAAATTAGCCAGGTGTGGTGGTGGGCCCCTATAGTCCCAGCTACTCAGGAGGCTGAGGCAGGAGAATCACTGGAACCCAGGAGGCGGAGGTTGTAGTGAGCCGAGATTGTGCCACTGCACTCCAGCCTGGGGGACAGAGCAAGACTGCATCTCAAAAAAAAAAAAAGAAAAAAGAATATTTTATGAAATGTGTTTTTAATTCAGTCTACATACTTTGTCATGTTTAACCGCTATTTAAAAAAAAAAAATCTTTATTGTCCAAAAACCTCTTCATAATGATCTTCACACACATATTCACTAACTTTTGCAAACCCTTACATGGTTTTAAGACCAACCAAGAACAAATTCAATTTGAATTATCAGCCTGCCTTCCTTTAAAACGTGTAAATATAGCAAATGGGCAATGGCAGTTCAGTCATTCTGCAATAAATATGTGCTAAATTTGTCAATTCCTGTGACATCATTATTTTACTCTTCATTAAGTACTTATGTCATCTCTCCTGGTGAACAGGACCAACCAATACCAATGGCAATCTCATCTACTTGTATTTACCAAATACCAACAAGGCAGTGGCATTTAGTGGATGACAATTAAACACTTTTTTGGACAATGAAGTAGGGAACACATGCAAAGGTCTAATAGTAATAAAAAGACTTTCCCTACAGACTTGATTGCATCTGATTGTGATAGAATCAGACATTAAAAATCAAGCAATGTTGATTGCACATGGTTAGTTACAGAGTGCCTTGCAGTTGGTAAGAACTCAATGTGTGTGTTCAACTGCTGGACAAATTACTGAATATTCATTCCTAAGCAAAAAGAACAAAACTCTATAAGCTAGGAACTATCAAACATCTTTTACAAAAATGGAAATAGAGAAGAATCTGTTTGCAACATGATCTACCTATGACATAAAAGGACCCAAACATTCCACTGAGTAAAAGCTTTGTGAGTCTGTATGTCAAAGCACTGGAAGGAATACAGAGATGAAGAAAACATGGTCCCTGCCCTAAAGCTTCTCATAATATAGAAGTAGGGACAGAACTACAACTCAGAAAAATAACTGGTAAGTTTCACTATGATGTTCCTAAAGAGCAAATTGGAAGGACTCAAGGTGGGTGGGGGTCAGGGACAGAGGTATCTTGAAGGGAATGCTTAAAGCTAATGCAGCCAGAGACAGGAAGAAAAGGGTATGTAGGCCTGGCACGGTGGCTCACATCTGTAATTCCACCACTATGTCAGGCCGCAGTGGGTGGACTGCTTCAGTCCAGGAGTTTGACACCAGCCTGGGCAACATGGAGAAACCCCATCTCTACAAAAAAAAAATTCAAAAATTAGCCTGGCGTGGTAGTTCCAGCTACTTGGGAGGCTGAGGTGGGAGGATTGCTTGAGCTCAGGAGGCGGAGGCTGCAATGAGCCAAGATCATGCCACTGCATTCTAGCCTGGGCAATACAGAAAGACTGTCTAAAAAAAGGAAGAAAGAAAGAAAGAAAGGGGTGTGTATATGTATACAGGAGAGAGCAGAAGTGTGTGCGTTTGGGTGGGGTGGCCAGAAAGTTCAGAGGACGGTCTAGGCAGACGAATAGCATATGTAAAAAAGACCCAGAGGTTAGAGACGCTACACCTATAAATATTGTATATTTAGTAAAATTCCAAAGAGTAGTTTGCATAAGATGCATACATTTTAAATGTTTCAGATGACTCAGAATCCCTGCAGAGAAAGTTACGTCCCACCTCTAACAGTCTTTCACAAGGTGTAGTGGTCAGTGAACCTAAAGATCTCTGCGGGTGGAACTTGCATGTTTAACAAGCTCCCAGACAATTCTCCTGCACACTTAAGCTGGAGAAACAGAGATGCTTTTTGAGATGCAGAATTATCAAATTACATGCGGTTCCCAAACTTTGCTGCACGCTGGAATCACTTGGGTATCTTTAAAAAACATATTGAAGTCTGGCTTTCACCTCCAGATATTCTGACTGTTTTGGTCTGGGATGCCACATGGGCATCGGAAACCTTTACAAGAGTCCCCAGGTGATTTTATCGTGTAGCAAAGTTGGAGAGCCACTGCCCTAATTGTTAAGCACTTGGGTCTCTGGAGTTGGATGCCTCGGTTCAAATTACTAGCTATGTGACCTTGGGTAATTAAGTCACCCAACCACCCAGGAACTCAGATGCCTCGTCAGTAAAATGGGGACAATAATCCTACCTCATAGGGTTGCTGTGAAGTTAGACGTGGTGAACGTAATGGCCTGGCATGATGCCTGGCGGATAAGAAGCACTTAATGGGGGTTAGCTGTTTACTCTCATCATCAACTCTTCCTCATCAAAGTGTCACTGTGCAATGGGCAGCACCGTTCCCACTGGGCGGCAGCAACTCGCCTAACCTTTCTGCTGGACCAAATTCTTTGCGGGAGTTGTCTCGCTCCGCTCCAGACCCGCCCCCTCCCCCAGGTTGCCAGGAGAGCTTTGCCCGGCCGGGGAAGCTCCCAAGGATTAGACCGGGTTTACAGACTCGACAGCAACCGCCCACTCCAGGGCCAAGCTTTCCCCGCCCCCGTGGGTCTCCCAAACATTTGCAGATGCGCTTCCAAAGGCCGGGCCCCTGGAGCACCCAGAGCCAAGAAACAAGCCTCAGCCGTCCCTGGACCGCCGGGAGGGGAAGAGAGGGGAAGGAAAGGTGAGGGTCCGGCCGCGGCGGGGCCGACTGCCCGGTTACCTGAGGCGACGGGCGGGGCCCGCATCGCCGGGGCGGGCGCCGCCGCCGGCCGTACTCGGCCTTCCGCCTCACGCGACCCGTGCCATAGGGCCGGCGCTTTCACCGCCCTGGCCGGCCGTCCTCAGACGGTCCGTCAGTCCACCCGTCAGCGACTCTCCCAGGGCGTCAAGGGACGACGAAGGCCAGTCGGGCCAGCCGGCTGGGCTCTGCTCAGGCAACTTCCGACTGCCAGGGGCGGCGGCGTCAAATAACTCCCCTGCCAAGTGGGCCACTGCGCGTGCGCGGTGTGCCTAATCAGCGCTTTCTGCGGGGCTGAACCGGTGGCGTCAAATAATTCCCGAGACACAGAGCCGGAAGCTGCGCCTGCGCAGCTATCCCAGCTCGCCGCGTGGGACGCATTCCGTCCTTCCTTTCCGGATCAAGCGGAGAGGGAGAAGTGAAGTGACGAATGCGCCTACCTCATCGCAGCACAGAGGAGGCGCTCCACCTGCGTCCTTAGGAATCTTACGACATCCTCTCTACCTGCTTTCGGTACAGACGGAGTAAGGGGCTTCTCTGCAAGATTCTGGCTCCCACCCAGGTTCTAGGATTTTCTCCCATTCCACCATTACAGCACCCTTCCTCTGACATGATGTTCTTTACTCGCCGCACTGTTATTACACGGGCACAGCATTAATTATGAGCAGTACTCTATTCCAGGCTTGGTGTGGGTTACAAAGGTGAATCGAACATAAGATTTAGAGCCTCTCATTAAAGAACTGAATCTCATAGAGATAAGACAGTAGTAATAATAGGAAGAGATACTACTTCGAGCACCTGCAATGCGCCAGACATTTTGTAAACAGTACCCTTTTCAATAATTTGCTTTCACTTCAACGAAGAAACTAATACCATTGGAGAGGTACAGCTTAAGTGCTTTGAGAGTGTAAAGGAGGAAACTTGGACTGAGAGAGGAGGGAGGGATGGTGGAATTCTTCACGGAGGACCTGGCCTTGAGGCTGACCTTGGGTATTCAGAGAGGGAGGGGTCAGGGTGTTGAGTAGAGGTGAAGGCACGGTTGTCTGAAAAGCAGAAAGGAGCAAAGAAGATTCTGACTCCTCACCTCAGTTAGAAGAGACTATGGAGGAATGAGTGATAAGGGAACTAGTATCCTCACAGAAAGGGTAAAACTGAAGAGTGTTTCCTCAGGACCACACCTCACTCCCCAGGAAAATAGCTACAGGAAGGAAGAGGGAAAAGGAGGGTAAGAATGTGCTAGGGCAGGAACGAGGCTATGTCCAGGACATTGGGGATCCAAGCAGTACATTTCAATTAAACACAGTGTGACAAATTATATAGTAGGCTAACTCAAGATCTATTTCAACCACTCCCTTGCCTTTCTATACTGCAGGGGCTGAAAAGCAAAGCACACAGCTCTCAACCTCCCTTGCTGCTAAGGGTGGCAGTGAGACAAAGTCCTGACCAATAAGATGTAGGCAGAAGTATCAAAGGAGACCTTCCCTTCTTTCTTCCCTTGGAGAAGTTTGTGTCATTCACTTTTCCCCTGCTTCATACTTGGAACTGGGTAACACCTGGGGGCACAGCAGCCTAGAGGCCATGAGGAGGACTGTGCTAAGGAAGGTGGAGCAGAAAGACAGGAGCCTGCTTGTTTAGGTCATACTCAAGCAGTTACACAAACCCTGTACTACCTTCCTGTCTTATGGGGGTGAGGGATCTTATGTATACCAGAGTTTGTTGAGTTTTCTGTTACTTGCAACCAGATGCATTCTAACACAATACTGAACACCTGTAACAGACAAGGGAAGGGGGTGACTAACTGGAAGAACAACGGGTGATGGGAATTGGAAAAGTGACAGGCACAGAGGATGGGAAAGCTGTCCAAAAGCCCTTGGGGAGATGATTAAAATATAGCTATCACCCTCCTAGTGGTTTCAATTCATTCCTGAAATTCTGCTTCTAAGTGGAAAGCTATTAAATTTTTCCCATTAATTAAAATGGGTGGCCGGGCGCGGTGGCTCACACCTGTAATCCCAGCACTTTGGGAGGCCGAGGCGGGCGGATCACGAGGTGTCAGGAGTTTGAGACCAGCCTGGCCAACATGATAAACACCCGTCTCTACTAAAAATACAAAAAATTAGCCGGGCGTGGTTGCGGATGCCTGTAGTCCCAGCTACTGGGAGGCTGAGGCAGGAGAATGGCGTGAACCTGGGAGGCGGAGCTTGCAGTGAGCCGAGATCGCGCCACCGCACTCCAGCCTGGGCGACAGAGCGAGACTCCGTCTCAAAAAAATAATAATAATAATAATAATTAAAATGGGCAAAATTGTGTTCAATTCCAACCTAAGGCACCTAAATATTGTTAACAGAAAAAATATACGAAATATGCAACAGAAAATTATACGAACAGAAAATATGCAACAGAAAATATGCAACAGAAAATTATACGAACAATAAATTTGCTTAAAATATGGTTTTTACATAAAATGTAATGCATTAAGACTTACTGCTCTGGACAGAAAGACAAGATTTAATATTAGGTGCAAGTTGATGGAGGATAGATGCAAATGAGTCATTCTCTAAATGATGGTTTGTTTTTTTTTAAGAGACAGGGCCTCGCTATGTTGCCTAAGCTGGCTTCAAACTCCCAGGCCCAAGCGATCCACCTGCCTCAACCTCCCAAGTAACTGGAACTAAAGGCACATATCACTGTGCCTGGTATAAAAGATACGTTTTTCCTGCACTCTTTGCTGATTTTTTAAAACTTTTGAGGGCTTCACTTAAACAACCTTAAAAATAAAACACACATACACACATATACCTCGAGGGAAAATTAAAGACTAAACATTAGAACACTTTGAAACATTTGAGAAAAGCACACGTGTAATAAACCTAAAAGACACATGAGATGCTGGACATAGTAAAACATTTTGGATTCTCCAAACACAGTACACAATTCAAATTTGTTCCTCGGCATGATCTCTGACTAGAAACACCGACTAAATTGGGGAATGTCTTCGTGTGAAACTGTAATGTCAAAATAGCATTTTGTATAGTACGTTTGGAAAGGCACAGAATTGGAAAAAAGAGGAGCAGTGGTATAAGCTTTTGTGACACACTTTTTTCCAAAGATGACTTCACCAATCTGTTTTGTTTTATTTACCCTGAAAGCATCACCCTGGGAGATGCCATACCAAAATATATGACCCATCCCGTGGTTCTCCTTATGATGTAACTGACACTCCTCCCACTAAGAAGTGGAATCAATGTTCCTTCTCCTTGAGTCTGGCTGAGTCTGTGACCATTCCAACCCAATAGGGCAAAAGTGATGCTATGTGATTTCTGGGGCTAGGTCATAAAGAAGACACAACTTCTACCTGGCTTGCTACCTATCACAATACCCACTCTTGGACCCCAGCCACCATGTTGGGAGGAAGCCCAAGCCACATAAAGGAAACATGAAGAGGTGTTCCAGCTACCAGCCCTAGCTAAGTTTCTGGTGTCAGTCAGCATCAATAGCCAGATTGAGGAAGCCTTCAGATGATTCTGGTCCCCAGGCTTCAAGCCTCCACCCCCACCTAACACCAAGCTGAGCAGGGACAAACTAACCCTATTGAGAGCACCCATAAGAGATGTGGATCCATGAAAAATATTGAGCAGTCCATATAGCAGATTCATGAGTAAAATAAATATTGTCATTTACCCCTAACCACTAAGTTTTGGGGTAAATTGTATGTAGTCACAGTAACTGGAACACTTTTCAAGAACCATAATTGAGAAAAGTTTGTAACTGAACAGCTTTATGCGAGATACGTCTGTGGCCATTTTTTTTTTTCTGGTTTTATTTTTCCTTCTTTTTTAATTGTGCAGTACCAGCTTGGGGTAGAAACAGTTGGTCAGATCCATTGCTGTTTCTCCTGAACCTAACACAATACTGGCATGGTGTAAGTGCTCAATGAACATGTGTTGGATGGACGGATGGATGGATGGATGGATGGATGGATGGATGGATGGATGGATGAGGGGATGGACAGAAGCTTCATTGGCTCAGTGCTGAACCCACCTTCTTGCTCCTACTGTTAAGTCTTAGTGGATGGTATCCAGTGGTTGATGGTAGTAACACCATTAGAGTCAAGCAAGTGGGGCCCCTTGTGCCAGACCCTGTGCCTTAAAAGGGTCCTGCACTTTGGACTGTATTCCTCAAAAGTTTTTAAGTGCCCTCTGGGGCTAGCAATGCCATTTAGGAAGGGTGTCTCTGTCTAGACCAGATCCCACATGACTCTTGTTGACCACAGTTTTCTACCTTGAAATTTTTCAAGTCTCTCTCCAGTGGTTGGGACTGGCCAGGGTGAGTGGTGCCATCTAGGCAGGGCAACCAAGCTCCAGACCAAGTCTGTTCCCTGTGGGTGCCATTTGCCATTTCTCCTCTTCAGTGTGCTCTCCAACCCTCTCTCTTACCCCTACCCATCTCTCACACATACGTAGGGTCGACCAGATGCCCTGAGAAGCTCCAGAACTCATGTTTATGGAGTCATCATAGCCAGATCTGGTTCTGAGAGCAGGCTTGCGCAGCTCACTCCTGCTGACTGGCGTAGAATTTCTTTCACCAGATTATATGAGATTAAGCTATCAGAAATGGTATTGACATGCTGATTGGGGGTAACTCTCACTCACTTGGACACAGCACGAGTTCAAGGGTCTGGGCTCTGCAAATGCTTATGCTTGAGCTGCCTGAGTGGATATATGCCTTGGCTTGTACCTCTGTCTTCAGGCCAGAGTGCCACGTCTGGCTTACTGCAGCCAGGGTGATCTTGGGGAGGAGGATACATGTGGCAGGCATCCTTTACCTGTGCACCCCTTCCCCAGCTGGCTCCAGGGCAGTCACCTCACCGCTTTGGCAGACTCCGGATCACTTGTCAGTCTGTCCTCCAGGATTGGCCATGCCTATCTCCTCTGTCTTAGTCTGCTCGGGTTGCTATAACAAAATACCACAGCCTGGGTACCACAGCCTAAACAACAGATGTTTATTTCTCACAGTTCTGGAGGCTGGAAAGTCCAAGATCAAGGTGCTGGCCTATTTGGTTCCTGGTGAGGGCCCTCTTCCCCGCTTGCCTTCTTGTTATGTCCTCACGTGTTAGAGAGAGGAAACTTTGGTGTCTCTTCTGCCTCTTATAAAGGCATTAAACCCAGCCGGGCACAGTGGCTCACGGCTGTAATCCCAGCACTTTGGAAGGGCCAGGCTGGCGGATCATTTGAGGTGAGGAGTTCGAGATGAGCCTGGGCAACCGGCAAAACCTTGTCTCTATTAAAAATACAAAAATTAGCCAGGCGTGGGGGCACACACCTGTAATCCCAGCTACTCGGGAGGCTGAGACAGGAGAATTGCTTGAACCCAGGAGGCGGAGGTTGCAGTGAGCTGAGATTGTGCCACTGCACTCCAGCCTGGGCGATAGAGCAAGCAAGACTCCATCTCAATAAATAAATAAATAAATAAATAAATAAATAAACAAACCTATCA